TTTATCAAATAAATAATCATTTAAAATAAATGAATTTTGTTAAAGATAAATCTATTAATTATAAATAATGATTAAATGAAGGATATTTATCTTAAAATAGAATTGATATTTGATGACTATTATCAATTATATTTCTATTTTGTTGTTGATGATGATTTTATTGATAAATAGATTTATTTAATATAATCATCATCATTTTATCTTGTTATTATTGATGTTTGTTAATTTTTATTATTATTATTTAATATTTGTGTTACCATAAACAGTTGATATTTATATTTGATATGGATGATTTATTTGTTCAATAATCATTTATTGATAATATGCATAATAACCATATATCGATATTTGTTCTAAACCAATTCTATAATGATAAGATTGGTTTATAAAAATGTATAGGTTTTTGTTAAACAATATAAATTTGTTTTATTAATGATAAATTAATTATTTGTTATCCGTTGTCTATTGAAGAAATCTGAGGATGGTATTAAATAATAACCATCATCAGATATTTAACATGTTATTGATAATGTATATTCTGTTAAATTTCTATTTAATTGATCGATTATTCTATAATTGATAATTGTTGAAATGGTATTATTTATATTGATTTAAATATAATTGAATATGAAAATTGTTATGTTAATGTAGAACGTTGTTGATTAGGTATATATCTATATGACCATGGTGGTGAACGTAAATGACGTGATGATGATGTTATTGTTGTTATTGTTGTTGTTGTTGTTTGAAGATTATTATTTGATTGTATTAATATATAAGGTGATCTTGAATTTGGATTTGAACATGTTATTTGACATTGTGATGATAAATAAATTGAACCAATATCTATTCTATTTTTTAATGATTCTCTTTTATCATAAATAGGTTGTATTTATGGTATTTCTCTTTGATTTGATAAATAATTTGAATAAATTATTTAAAAATAATTAACTAATAAATCAAGAAATTTATATTGATTTAATATTTCAATTAATATATTTGTATTATGTATTGAATAAATAATAATAATAATGGTGATGATAATAATGGATGTTGTTGTTAAATAATGATATATTATTGTTAAAAGATAATTTTTCTTGTGATATAAATGATGATAAACAATAATAAATAGTATCACCAAGAGATATATGAAATAATTTAAATAAAAATCTATTGTTCTATGTATAAATATGATGAATATTGATTTGTTTATGTTATTGATGCAGGAAGATATTTTGTTGATAAATTTAATGATATTGATAGGGATGAATAAAGTGATGAATGACATACGTGTAATTAAAGTATTGAAAGAAATTTTTCAATATAAATTTATTAAAGTATATCATCAAAATGCTCATGGTTCAATATCATTTTTATTTATATTTATTTCTTCATTTTAAAAACGTTTACGTTGTTGATCAATTGTTTGATTTATATTTTCCATTAATTTTCTTATTAATAATATCATTTGTCGTAGACATCTATCATATAAATTCCATTGACGATCTATTGATGATGATGATCATTTTGAATTTGTTCTTGTTTCATTATTATTTGTTGTTGTTGTTATTGATGTTGATTGATTATTTTGTAGAGAAATTTTATTAACTGTATTGATTAATTGCCATTTACGTATTTATAGATGATCAAGGAACTAATAAACTTGTTGAAGATGATTATGACTATGATCATAATTAATAAAAGATATTAATGGATCTATATCATTTTGTGTAAATGATAATGGTCAATATGAATAATAAAATGAGCAAACAAAATCAATTATATTACAACAAAGTTTTAAACGTATTAATGATGTTGATTGAGAAAAATTTTGTTTAAAAAGATAAGTTAAAAATTTTAAATGACAATTTAAAGGAGTATGAAAACCATTAGTTATAAGACGATCAAGAATAGATAGCAGAGAATTAAGATAAAGACTGTTGACATTAGTTTATGATGATGATGATGACTGAATATCTTGAGATTGATTTGATTCATCTAGGAAAACAATTTTAAAAAAGTTATTTATTATTCAATTAGAAAACAGGACTATTCATCACGTCTAAAAAAAACTACTGCGATTATAGAAAAGAAAAGCTTGTGCACCGCCGCCGCCGCAATGAACACTCCTGATAGACTTGATAATTTTTTTGCTACTTTGTTAAATACATACGGAGCATGTGTGGGACCGGGATGCAATTGGAGCCAGAGTTAGATCAGTTTACCAAGACTATGATCAAGACTAGGCCAAGACAATAACTATGACCGGCATAGTTCTTATCTCGGACCGGTACCGACCATAGTCCGAGTAAAACTGATCTAATCCTAGTACCAATTCTGGTCCCAGTCATACTCTCTCGGTCGCACACATCTCTATGCACGCGAAACATTGAAGAGATTATTCAATGAAAATATTTTTAATTAATTTTAATCAAGTTTTTATTTTGATAAATTAAAGAAAAATGTCAATTGTTAAATCCTAGCTGATGTTGCTACTCTTTTAATTAATTTAATATATTCAATAATATATTCATCATCAGACATAAATAATCTTTGAAAATAATTAATAACAATATCAATTGTAGATTGATCAATAATATATTGTGTTGTTTGAATAGTTTTTAAACAAATGTTTATCAACTAAACTATAATCAATATTAGCTTGAAACGATATTTGTTTAATTTGTTAAGCTAAATCAATATTTTTAGTTGTATAATATAATAAATAAAATAAATGATCCGATAAAGGTATTGTTACTAACGATGATTTTAATAAAAATTTAAATAATTAATCTAATGTATTAATTGAGATAATAAATAATCGTTTTAAATAAATATTAATTGGTGGTTGATTATTATAAATTGCTTCTGTTGTTTGTATATACGTATATATTTGCTTATGATAAATATATATTGAATAGTGTTGTTAATGATATAATTAAATATGAATATAATAAATATTAAATTGTTATAATATAAATCATATGATATAAAATGATTTTGTTCAATAAAACAGCATAAAATATTTTGATAAGTTTCATTTAATAAATCAATTGTTCTATATGAATAATTTCGTTTTATTTCATATTGAGATTTAAATTATTTATTTTTATATTTAAATAATAATAAATTCTATATTGATTTAATTGAAATAAATTTTTATTTAATAATCTTTCTATTGTTATATGATTGATTTATTCTAAATAAATCAAATATAAATTTTATATTACCATAAAAGGTGTGGGTGTGGGTGTGCGTTCATCTTAGCTTAGCTCTCTCTTATACCAAAACCCACACCCACACCAACGCCAACATCCACAACCACAACCTCACACCCACACCCCAAAATTCAAAAATCCCGAGACATAATCGCTAGATGCCTAATCTAAATGCTCAAAACTTTAAAAAGGCACTACATATGCACAACAAATACCTTATTTTGAAAACAATCATTTATTGAAGCCGATAGACAAAAGTTAGAGGATAGCAGAAAAGAATTCCATGCAAAGTAGAGTGCATCATTGATTCGGGGGCTATGTATTCGAAAGTTTTCATGCAATAAGTGCAAGATGAAGAACGAGAATAAAAAATGTCATCCAACTCGAGAAGAAACAAGACAGGAGTGATTTATTTGTTTCCATTTGATTGTTGCATAAGTCCGTGTGACAACAGATTAAATTGAGATATGTTTCGGGATTCTCACGCATTTGTTCGCATGTTGCATTCGATGTCCATCCCCACTTCCACTTAATTGTTCTATTCTGTTGATCTTGGTCGTTACATGGCGAATAGCGTGTTGTCGCCGGTGACAAAGAGGAACAGACAGTCTTATAGCTGAAACAAGCACAGCCAACAGTCGAACATGATTCTTTCTCAGGAGTTTTAGTTGGACTACTATATCCGACTGGTTCCGAGGGGCTCCCATCTTTGTTCGACGAAGGAGTTGCATTCACATGTTTTCCATACGCCCAATAGCATTTAATTGACGCTGTTGGGATGATGATGAGTAAGAAGACGACCAGTGCAAGCTGAATGGAGCCAACCATTTCTCTTTTATATCTATATCAAATAGTAACAGAGGAGTACGGTTCTTGTTGAGAATTGAAGTCGATATATAGTTACTCGACACTCCTACATTCTTCTCTTCTTGTTCGCTCCTTTCACTTCCAACCGAACACAAACTAAAACAACTGCTTTTTCTATTTCAAGGATGTTACATGAAACGAAGCGCAAATCATCAGAAGAGAGTATTCTCCGTGTCTGTTAACACTCCCTCATTCTGACAGTTGTCCAATTTAGCTCATGTTTTAGACACTAACTCAGAGGTTTTTCTACTACTTGAATATGGCAAATCCTTGTGTTCTTGAACTTATATGCAGAGAAAAAGTTACGGATATCTGACTCCATTACATCCTACCGCATTGAGCGATAGTGAGTGCGGAAAGAAGACGCTCTTACACTCTGGTTGTATTCTTCTTGAAGAATACCTGATCTAAGATTGTTAAAAATCTCACTTTCTTTCAAAAATATTAAAAAATAGGATAAATCTCAGCCAATGCTTTTAAAAACTTGGAAGGCCTATAATTCTCGAACGGAAAGTCAAAAAATAGAGAGTAAGGATGATACAACAAAACAAGTGAACCAACAAAAATTGATAATGTAAATGAGGAACAAGATAACAACACGAAGTGTATAGTGGCAAATAAACAAAGAAGCGAATGAACACAGTAGCGCAGCGGCGAAGGAAGCAAAAGAAAATGATGAGAAGAATAGAATAGAGAGACGACTTACAGTTCCTTTTACTTCATCGCAGGTAGAATAGAAGAAAACAACAACTTTATTAATAAAAAGATATTGTATTTATAATCAGTTCGAAGAAGAACGAAAGGAAAAAAAGTTAAAAATTCAACTACGCAATAATGATTGATGTCGAACCTTGGCTATAGGCCAACATATACATGGTATGAGTATGTGAGTAAAGAAGAAACGAACAATACTGTCGATGTCAAAAGTCTCGCACCACTTTTTTATTTTGAGTCGTGTATTTAAACTGCACAACCTTAATTTAATTTAGTTATATGCCTGTATAGCAGAGGTCGAGTACTATATATATATCTGTTTAGTACGAAAAAATCTTGAATATAAAATACAATAAAAAAACAACAAAGTTCAGGTCCAAGAAACAAAGACAAAATGATAATAAAAATGTTTGGAAGGCTTTTTTGTTTTGCAATAGGAATTGTGTATACAGACTTTATAGAGCTCTTGATGGCACATCTTTTGAAAAAAACAAGATTTTATCATTAGTCTGTGCAGAACTATTCGCAAAACAAACTGTTGCAAACATTTTGGAACACCCGATATTTCAGTGTTTAATATTTTTACTATAACACCGTCATTTCTCAGTGAAATCCAAAATGTCTTTTTACTAAAATGATCAACAAAAAAAGTTCTACAAAGCCTGACAAAATGAAAAGTTTTCTTCATACTTTGTGTTTTTTGTGGTTGACTGCCGATGTCAGTATCCTCTAACAATAATATCATTTTGTTTTTTTTAAATTTTATTTCATATTCAAGGATTTTTCGTATTAAACAGGTGTATATATAGTACTCGATCTCCGCTATACAGGCATATAACCAAATTAAATTAAGATTGTGTAGTTTAAATACACGACTCAAAATAAAAAATTGGTGCGCAACTTTTGACGTCGACAGTATATTAAAAAATCGATATTGTTAAGAGCTAAAATCTGCTGAATGGGGTATTTTCTAGGACCTATTTGCAATACATTAGAACTTCGGCTTTTAAAGAATATTACACATAAAATCTTTTGACAAAAAGACGTTCGAGTCAGAATGATGAAAACTGATTGAAATATTTATAAAATACTGGTATTTCTATTCTTCATGGGACATCAGTAGGATTTTAAATTAGCGTATTCAAGATGTTTTTTGCAGTATAAATCGCTGAATTAAATCTACACTAGGGATTTCATCTATGATTTGAATGATCATTCATCAGCCATCAAATATTTTTCAAGAAAATAAAATCTTTAATTTTTTATTACAACTTTAGATCGGAAAATTTTTTAATTTCATTTGCAAGAAATTTTAAGGAAAGCTACGTACGTAGCGAACCTATCATTGCAATCTACTGTTAATTTCAAACTGGAGTCATTGTTAACAAAAATTGAAAAGAAAAATTTGCACTTTGTGAACTATTTGGAATTCAACAATATCGAATTTCTACTCACTAATTGTAACATGACACTCTACATTAAAGAGTAAGATACGTATGAGAGAAAATGAACAAGGTGGTCAATCGATTTAACGACATGGACATTTTTCTATCCGTCGAACCTCTTGAAATTGTAAATAGTTTGAAATGATTCTATTCTTTTAATATATTCTTCATCATCTTAACGTAACAGCTGAACAAGTATCATTCGCGCTTAAATATCTCATATGAGTTTGTTTAGGGTGTGGTTGTGAGTTGGTGTGGGTTCTAATCTTTTCTTCACCCACACCCTTAAACTATATAATTTGAGTTTCTCTTAGTATTCAGTGACTATTGAAAAAATTTTGCCGCTTAATGTAGATGTTGAGTGTAATAAAATATACTAATCAGATATTGTTAACACATAATTAGAGTTTTTCATGCTAATCGTACCAAAAAGTTGTAATTTGCTCACTTAAACAAGTAAATAAACTGAAATTAATTTACTTGACGACTTAAGGAAAAAAAGAAAATAGTTTATCACTTTTACGAAGTTGTATACTTGATTAGATAACTTATTCAGTGTATATACAATACTTTCTTGAATTGTTACTTGCTGTGAAGAAGTAGTCGCTGCAACACCATTGGTTTGATTCAATACAATTCAACCAACTGTTTTTAGATTCATAGCTGCTACCAATGCCTAATTCGATCATACGATTGGAGACACTAGATGTAAATCCCATTTCACAATAGAAGACCTCCCTATATTAGAAAATCCTTCACAGCAGAAGCTACTCCTCTCTCCCGTCAAAAATATTCGCCAAACGTAATAGAAGACTCCCTTAATTAACTTTTTTTCGAAAACTGAAAACTTTAATTAGTGTATTTACGCCAAAATATACTTATTTTGGGGGATTTTGAGCTGAAAGTCTCAAAGTAGCAAGTTCAATATTATGTCTGAGCTTTCAAAATCGAAAAGCACATTCTCAAATCCTGAAAACGCTTTGGTTTTCTAAGAAACCCTTTTAATTAAAAATTATGAAAATATATGGGACATAATAAAAGACCTTCCTACAACCTTTTTCTTCTTGAACATAATAGAAGGCCCAAGATCTGCTATTTCAGAGGGTTTACTGAGATTGAAGCATAATAAAATGTGTGCAAGTGCAAGATGATTCAGAAAAATATTATTTGTATAATTTAGAAGTCGAGCTAGATCCAGAATCAAACGAACTTGTTCTGTTGTTTGATTTTCACTTTTGATATTGTATATACCAGGTTGAATGATAAAATACAGCGTAAATGATATTATATCTTCAAGATAACTTGCAGTGGTGAGTAAAAATATAATGCTGTATAATTAAGTATAAACAATGGAAACTTATTGAAACTAATCAAAGATAAGCATCGATTGATGCTTTGAAATTATAAAATGTTCTTTCATTGATTTGTTTTCTCACTAATAAGATGATGCGTGCATGTAAACAGAAGAAGTATTCCAAGGACGTTTATTAATATATTTCTCTTCATTAGACTTTACTCTTTTGAATATGATATAAGTACGTTTAGTAGAAATAAAAGATAATGATTCGTATCTTGATAAGATATCATTAGTGGAAACATATTGCACATATGCTGTATGTTTTGTATTATATCAAAGTGAATCATTCGTTTTTATAAGAATTAGTCCGACGAGCGCAATAGTATATGTAAAATATAACGTTCTTCTTATGAAAAAATAAACACATAAATCTGTGCTTTCGTATTATCGTTAAAAATTCAAACGAAAGAAAAATATTCGAGTTTGAAACTATTTTTTCATTTGTGTTTCATATTTCTTCACCAATGATGCTTATGCCAACTATATTAGCACTGTTACTATATGGTATTTATCGTGTGTATCGCTACGTTTTCACATCATCAAATATGGATTCCAAGAGAAACTGTGTTTATGATTAGTTGTGATTTACGTTTTTCTCCTGCTTTAACTATTGAATTCAACAAACAAGGTTATAATATTCTTGCTAGTATATTCAATTTGAGCAATGAAATTTCATGGAATAATAATCGATACAAACTAGTCATTATCTTTTATCAGAATGTTATTCGATATGAAGATTGTTGATGCTAAATTTGAATTAATACAATAAAAAAAACAATATATTTCATTCAATTTCTAATCATGCTAGTCTCAGTACGAGTAACTACGTACATTGATTGAATGATCATGGAATCTCTATGTCAACTAATCGACATGCATTTTTTCGAACGTATGGCAATGGGAATGCTAATGCAAAACGTAATTTATGAGTTGTGAATGTTCACTCTGGAACTGACACTCTAACTGCATCAGGAAAGTTAGATTTTTCAGCATCAAAATATACTATAGAATCATTTTCTGATTGTCTTCATAATGAAATGGATCTGTAGGATTTATATGCAAGTGTAATTGAACTCAGATCAATGCGAAAACCTATTATTGAAGGATATGATCAGTTCATACACAGCTTTCGAATGAATAATCCGTAAATGTTTAACGAAGCTAGGATGAAGAATTATCAAATGTGCTTCGCAGCTTTCTAACGCTCATTTGCAGTAAGAATCGTACAGAAGATGAAAACGCAGCAATATACGTTTCACAGCAATATGTTCGTGCTGCCTTGAATAATAAACCTTCAAAAATAATAACAGGAGTATTTCTCAGTTAACCAATGCATCTGTTCATTTTCCTATGATATATCATTAGTAAAAAATATTTTCATAATTAGTGAAGAGTTTGAATTGTAATCCCAAGTTCCTTTAGGAATCATCATAAATCAAAAAATTGGTCTGTCTAAAATACGAATATGATCTGATCGAAACTCATGCCGTATTAGTATTGCCATAGAATTACGATCAACGACTGGTAGAGGATCGAATAAGTAGGGGAAACATCATTTTCTTGCGTTCAATAATATACTTTGAACGAAAAAACCAAGAAGGTACGAAATTTTTATTGGCTTTGATGCAGAACATAACAGAAACTCATTCGAATCGATGATTATATCTAACACCTGAGTCAAAATATAGTTAAGAGCTCTATAATTCGACTGCTTTAGTTCAGTAGTATATGGGGATGTCTTGTCATATGACGTTTCCTTGTTTGAATCCTCCTCAAAACTTTATCATAAACTATGTAAGTTAACATAGCACTTGTTTGGCTGAATGCAATACATGGATGAATTCCATTGTAGAGTTAAGTACAGACAACAGGTGCATTGTTTTGGATTTTTTGAAGATTATTGGCAAAATACTGCGTAGTCGTTTGAGAGACTCTATAAAACGCGTTAGTGCTCATCAGTTTGACAAATTTCGCAGTTCTTAAACAAAATTATGTCAAACGATGCTGAGCAATACTTCTTTTTTAGCGTTTGTTTTAACACATGACAAACGCTTTTAATCAGTCACCATTAACGCGGTTTATAGCTATGGAGAAGTACATTCCGGAAACGCGTTTTTTCGGCAGAAGTTTTAGCCATAGACAGACGGAAGAATAACTGGATATAGCTTGTGTTTTTCACAGTTGGTAATGATTCATCAGAATACTTTCATTCAGGTGATGTGGGTGTGGATAAAGAAAAGGTCTACAGCTACACTATAAGGTAGTTCTTTACAATCGAGTTAGATGGTTAAAGAGAAACGACAACCTATTGTTTACTTGATTATGCACGAATATTTTTCTCGGAGAAATAAATGTGTCTAACGAAGTAATCGTTTTTTATTACTTTTCCTTCGATTAAAAGATGATAAACATTAGTTTTTCAATAATTATCATTATACAATTCTTTTCCTATAAAAATTTCTATCTGCTAATATTTATTGTTATTCTGGATATGAATCATTGCACTTTTTTCTTAAAAGGTTTTAATCTCGATAAAATAAATCAAAATGAATACTTTGACCAAAAACGAAGGTTAATGTTTACTGAAGTAATTTACTGTATGAAACAACTATTGTGGACGGGTACTCGACAACCTAATCTTTCTAACCATCTGAAGATGAAGCTAACCGTAATACACTATAATTTAAGTTTTCAATACAAAAAGTCTTCCTTGAATGGTTAACATAAAAGCAATGCTTTCGAACAAAGACCAATAATTAGTAAATTCTTGCACTTTGCAATCAGTCCAGCGTCTTCATTTAAATGCGTTTTAGCAGATAATCTAGATATTATTATCTTTAGGTTTGAGGTAATATTTATTTATTTAGAAGAAATTCTAGTGAATTATAAGACTACGATAACCATATTGTAAGTTTATTGCGTTTTGGAAATATTATTTGATATGTGTTCGAATCGAGTAAACGTTTGTTACCAGAAGTGATTATTGCTTGTTCTAATTCTAGTTGAATTTCTGGTTTGATTGAACAATAACCTTCTCTGTTCAAAAAGTTGATCAAATGTATTGATAATTTGTGAAATAAATTCGACAAGATGTTGATTGAAACCTAGATTGCCACCACTTGTCACGAAGCAACATATGCCAGGTAATAATTGGAAGAGATGATTAACATGAATATCCGGATTTGGATCAATGTAATGCACGTTTAGAATAAGTTCTAATTTTTTCACATTCTTATTAGGATGTAAACAATAACGTAAATAGTTCCATTCTACAGTGAGATATGTGAGTCGAGGTGATACACCAAGTATCTGATCGATGATGTAAACACGTTGTGATTGTGGAATCGACTTATCATTAAACGCGAAAGTTACAGAGGACAATCGACCAAACCATAGATTAGACCATGATGAACTGACGACATTCATTTCAATTTGTGTCTGAAAACAGAAATACTAAATTAAATAATTCATACATTTCCAATGTCTAACATCAACCAAAAATTAGTATTCCCTACTTCTAAGCAGCAAGAATATTCATACACCATTTTGCTCATTTAACTGTTTTAAATAAAGATATTTCTTGCTAAAAAAATGCTTTCAAAGATAAAACTATACTTTTAAAATATTATCGTTTCCAGAATTTAGCTAAATTCGATATTTCATCAAAATCTTATACATATAAATAGTAACAGAAAAATAAAAGCTCTTAATTCCAATATTTGGTGTCTAAATGACGAATAGTGTTAGATTCATTGTTATACTAACCTTCATTTTATAAAAATGTAAATGAAGTTCGTTCAAATGTTTGCCGGCTAAAATATTTAAAGTGGTACTCAATTGATTGAAATTATCTATTTTATTGCAACTCCATTCGATATACTGTTTTTGGATACGAGTGCAATGCTTTGTAAACCAATGATTATGTATGGTACGTGTATATTGTGTTAAAATGTCAAATGGACAAGTATATAAGAGAAGGATTGTTTTCCTACGTAATTTTGTATCAAATCTCGCTGAGATAACTTGCTCGTCAAGATGATAACCAACATTATTGAAGAGCCATGTATTGCCATATGTGACTAAGATCATATGTAATGATTCAATTAAATCTGCAGGAAAGCGAATTAGAAAGTAGAGATGTTTCAAAGCAGGCAACTAGTTGTAGCTAACAACACGTCGAAATTCATCAAGATGTCCCAGTGCTAAAACATGAGAAAAAAACTACATCTCATATTCGATACATATTTTTATAATATTTGATGGCAAGAATAGCTCTTACAGCAAAGAAAAACAAAAAAAACTATTTATTCTCATTGTTTGTCAAAGTGAAAAAATATGTTTTTTGAAGAAGAGATTTTTAGATGAATGATTTATGAAAAGACCTGTTGTTTAAAGCTCTGCTGTTAAAAAATGCGAACTCTATTAGATGTGTTTAGCGATGTACCGAGACTCTCGGTACAGATTCACAGACACTAACATGCTCAGCCTGGACTCTCAGTCTTGGTTTCGGTCTGGGTAAACTCCTACACATTTATAAAAAGATGATAAACGTTACAATTTTTATTTTTTATAGATAGGCTCTCAAAACTCGCGAATATTAACAAAAGTTTTGTGTAATGTGTACAGATCAACAAAACTATTTATAAAGTTCAAATGATATTCAATGAATATTGTTTTTATGTTCATACTGATAGACTTCACTTCTTAAAAATGCATGAGCAAGAAATATTTATCACAATTTTCTTGCTTAAACAGGGCCTGTGATCATTATAGATTATAGATTAGCAAAATACTTTTATATTGCATTAGCTTCTTCGGACAGAAAAAAAAACTAATGATAATGCACTAAAACACTTAATAAATTCTATAGCATACTTTCATCAAATATATCAACTATGGTTCATTTTTTTAATAAAGGCATACGAATAGAGTTGAGTAATATTACAAGTTGACTGAATGCCAAATGACGTAATACAAGAGTTTGAAGTTGAGTATCATAATTCATTTGTCGAATGTCACATTCGCGTAACTGATTCGATGGTGGAGATTTTTCTAAATCATATTGTTTTTCGAATTGTTCTTGTTCAATTGTTACATTTAAATGTTGCAGAAGTGGTATAACACCATTTTTAAGAATCAATACAAGTTCAAATGAATATTGCACACTTAAGGTCAATTGAACAGTACGTGGCAAAAACAAGGTTTTTATTTCATATAAATTGAAGGCTGTGTATTTCTTATATCCATTATGATCTTAAAAAATAAATCCAATCGAAGCGAAAAAACTGATTAATGAATAAATCTTTTTCGAACTCAATCATAATCATAATATTTTGATTTTTCATGAATATGTTCTTACAAGCCTTATGAAGGTTTTCACAGGTCAATGAGCTAATCATGATAACATAAAGCATTCTGTCTCATCGATTTTCTTTGAAGAGTTAGATTGATGTCAACTTGAGAGAAAGTACTGGAATTTATTTTTTTCGAACTTTTGATTTTTATGTTCGTTTAGTTCTCAACGTGCAAAACTTTAACACTGAATGCGCTTTAAAATAGCTTCTACATATCTACTCAATCAATATGCATAGAAGTAATAGCTACGCCTGGATCTTGAATCTATTTGAATTTTATCATTAATACTATTTGTATGTTTATCTATTATTATTTTTTTCACATAAACATATGAGAAACAATAAAGTAGAAAGTTGAAGATTGTGTGTATGTGTACAGACAATTAAGGTACATTCGATTTTAAAGTTTTTGATGCTGACAACGAAAGTAACATGAAAATTAAAATTTCCAAAATAATAGTTTATATTAATTTTTCTGAAGCTGAAGTCGACTTAACTCTTCAAAGAAAGTCTATAAAGGAAAACACTCTCTGCTAGTATGATCATTCCAGTGAGCTCTGCAAACTGACATATAACTGATTGAAAACCGACACTTACACTTGGAGACTTCGTTTGTTAGTCTTTTTTCCTTTTTATGACAGTAATATGTTCAAGAAAATGTTTTATTTTTTTTTTTTGTATGTTTATAATAACGAACAGTCGATACATCAGGATTCTAACATAGAATCAACATAAATATGTACTATTGACAATTTTCTGGAATATAGGAATCTACGTAGTATAAAGTTAAGTTATATTTTAGCGAATACACCTTTACATACATTTTCACGCCAACATTAGATACAAGTCAACGTGAAGACTCACGAATATGAATTTCAAGGGTCATTTTATTAGAATCATTTACTTGGTTATTATTACAAATACGAATAAACTATTGAGTAGATCCTTCTAATAAAGTACGCAAGAATTTAAAGCAAAGACTGTATAGTTGAATGTTGTATGGATTAGATAACAAAAAATAGTTGCAGATGTAATCGAAAAAGAAAATCTTTTAGGATTACGATTCTGCTTCAATATTTATGATGATTGAATGTATATTTTCAGAAAGCTGAGCATCTATCAAAAATTATCTAACGAACTCACGATAGTAGAGGAAGACGAGACAATAATTTGAGTGGCATACATCGTTTTTCTTTGGCTATTGTATCTGTTTAATTTTTAATTTAATATTGTAATATACCTTTTTTCACTTCGAGTATCATGCTATGAATCGACATTTGAGTTTCAAACAGAGTAGTGAGAACTCTCATATACTCTCCATTAGGATATTCAAATATAAGATGAAGATTTGGTAAAGTATTGCCAAATAACGGTTTAATTAGATTATGAACAATAAAAGAATCAAAATATTCAGTTTCCATTACAATCAATCGTTTTATTGATGGTGTTAAATAAATTGGTGAAGTTGTTGCTTGGGTCCAATGCTTATAGAAAGCTAAAGAGGCACACGAATTATCAAGAATAATTGCACGTAATGAAGAGGAAAAGTTTGACATGCTTAAAATGTTTTTCATTTGTGCATATGACATCAGTTTTGTATTTAGCACCAGAGATCGAGACATTATAATATGTTTAATCCGTTTATTTTTTATGTCAAAAAAAGCTTGAAACAGATCGAAAGACGATAAATAATCGAAAATGAGTAACCATAATTCAGTTGGTAAGAACTCGAATTTGTTAATATTCATTCTATTGGTAAGAGTACGATGTGTGTCTATTGTTTAAAGATGTGACATTGTATAAGAAGCCGAACAACAATGTTCGCATAGTCGACTGATCAATTTCATAACAAAGTGTTGAGCGTTTTCTTTCATTATATCAAGACGAAGAAGAGTAATAATTGAAGAAAGAGAAAAAAAAGAAGCTTATTATTTTATTTCATTTCAGATATCAGTAGTATGAATCTTTTTTAAAAATACAGTATGTAACGATATGACCGAAAACAAAAGAAGGAAAGGATAACGAAAAAAAATAAACTGCCAAAAAATATTGATTGTTTAATTAAGCCTTTTGTTTCGGATTGAGTGTGTCAGGTGCGTACGAGTGTGGATTATGTTCTCGAAAATATTGACTATGCAACCTTCATTCGTGATTTTTTTCTTTTCGTCAGTCTAATGCTTTTCTAACAAACATATTACATATGTATGTCGTATCGAAGTTACACCGGTCGACGAAGTTACTTTAATTCAACCAAAGAAAAAATAATTATCAATTACTTGACAATATGATAAACGTTTTATATATTCACAGATAATTTTTCATTTAAAAATATGCATATTATTTTTCCGAATGTATAGAAATTGTTAAAAAAAATTAATATTGTTTTTTTGTTAAAACGTTATATGAATATCGATTTATGCTGACGATACTAATGCCTGTACCTAAGGAAAGAGGGTGTGGGTGTGGATGCTCTGTATAAAAAAACGTTTCTTGGAGAACCTAACCCGCTCGGAAACCCTTTCGCGAATCTTTAGAGATTTTCGAGAAGGTTTCAGAGCGCTTGAAGCGTTTCTGAGAATATCTTCTTGATTTCGGAAGGTTCGAAAATCCTTAGGCTTCCTATAATACCAATTACGACACCCGAAAAGTATTTTAGAACACTTTTTTCGTGCTTTCGGGAACCTATTAGTACTTGCAGAAACCGTTATAGTATTATCGGAAACTAATATTGCCAAAAAACTGACTTGGTATCCGAAAGAGTTTCTGAAAATATTCTTTTCGTTATTGGATGGTTGCCGAAAATAGTGAATCTGAAAAGGCATGATGGAAAACCGAAATCCGTTTCCGAGTTTTTGTTTGACACCCTGAAAGGTTTTCGAAGTTTTTAAAATTTTCACAATGTTCCAGAGATAGATCATGGTCAGAATCCGAAAACTGCTCAAAAGAACATTTTTGGTGCTTGAATTTTCTTTCCTTTTTATCTTCGTTTTTGCTCAGTTTTAGAGATTTTTAGATAAACTAAATGCTGCTCATGTATTTAGTACAAATTATTTAATTACAAAGTATTCTTTTTCGCATGATTAATTTTTCGAAATCTGAAATTATTTCGGTCTTTCGAAGTAATCTAATGTTATCTTTACATTCTTGAGTTAGTCTCAATTTTGAATAAATATGGAAAAATATGGCGTTAACAATTTGTAAACAAATATTATTAGCAAGAAACTCATATTTTCCTTGCTTTGCTTCGTTAAATTTCAATAAAATAATAATTAAATATAGCCATGAAATGTTTTAAAAGCTGTACAGAACGAAAATACCACAAGCTTCTGGTTACAAATAGCCATTATAACTGGTTTCTTTCTAACCATCATACGGTTAAAGGCTTTCAACTCAGATAAAAAACTTCAGCGAACATGTGAACAGATTATTGTCGTTTATGTGGCATCTAAGCAGTATGTACACATATTGTTGTCAAAAAAACAATAAATCATATTTCTTGAATTGGCCCCTTCTCTCAAGTTTCCCCTTACGTTTATTCTGTAATCGAATAACAATGAAAGATTAGGCCCCTAATTTATAGATTTAAGATGATGCATTTATGTTCGAGTATTATTCTTATTTCGATTGGTCGGGAGCCGATCAAAATATAAGATAAGCATATTTTGAAAGTGTTCGTAATTTAATCGAGCGCACTGAAAGCAGTATCATCGTCAGATTCCCAGAGGTTAGCTTTTCACCCTTTGGCCTCAATTAGTTTTTTAAAGTAATTATCATTATAGGAACAGCTTTCTAAAAATATAATTATATATTCTGATGGAGTTTATAATTTTATATTACTCTGTTTATTCATCTTCTACCTTCCATTTGTTTGTAGAAAAACAAAATTCAATATATTCCATGTACCATCAATTGAGAAAACCATAATTTATTATATTACGCTTTTCTTTCGAGCTTTACTTATTATAGGAATAAAATTTTATTAATGTATCCATTCATCCTGATAGCGATCACAATTCTGTATAGTTCAATACAGTTCTGTTTTTTCAAGTCTTAATCAATAATGTTGGTATAAGGTAGGGGTACCTATTAAGAGAGCTTTCAGAAGTGTTTTTTCTCTGTGACTATTTTCAGTTTTATTTCAACTTTACTATTCTTATGCAATGGACTTTCAAACATGTAACTATATAAGGTGGTAGAGTTAGAAATTCTCTATGACACTAGAGGTTGGGATTAAAAAAAACTAAGTGATCGTTGGACCATAAACGTTTTCAGGGTTTACCATCGAGTGTACAAGCTCTATCAGAGTTCATAATAGTTGTAGTAAGCTTTTATTTTTCTAGGAGTAAAAAATTTGACATGACAACGAAAAAGGTAGAAAAAATATGGAGATTTTCGGTGTTTGTCAATGGAGGATACATTGGATGTAATAGATTTTTTTTCTACAAGTAAACGGAAGACAAAAAATAAATATATAAAGTGATAGAAAATTTTAAGCTCTATGAGAACATTTAATTATTTGTTTTTTTAGAAAGCTATTCCTATAAGAATAATTGCTTTAAAAACCTAATTGAGGTCAAAGTGTCAAAAGCTAATCTCTGGGAATCTGACGCTCATGGTCCTTCCATTGCACTAGATTTACTTTTATGGCGATAAATACA